TGCACCCTGAGTATGCCATGGCGTATCGTGCTGTCCTCAACGTGGCTTCTCACCTCCAGCGCTCGGAGGTCTTCGCCATCCAGTGGCGCATCGCCTTTACCAATCCTAGGATCATGCCTTCCACGCTTGTCTCCAATCTGATTGCGGCGGTCACCTTGTGTGGTTTGCGCTTCCGTGCCCCTGCTGACATTGCCCTTGCTTCGGGTCCTTGGGTGTCTCTCTTCAGCGTGTCCTTACGTTCTCTGGCAAGGCTCTTGCAGTGGACCATCGCTCAGCATGCCTACCAGCGTGCCTGCCGTGGGAAGCGTGCTGTTGCCCCTGGCCCGTCTGGCCTTCTTGACGTTGCTCTTACCCGGTCCCCCTGGTCTGTGCCGCCTGGCCCTGGCTGGACTTCTTTCGTTCGTGCTTTTCCTTCCAATCATGCGGTTGCGCCTGCGGTGGTCGTTGGCTCAGCGGCTACGGCAGACCGCCTCTATGCTTCCAACTTGGCTGCCTCCCCTGGTTGTCGCTTCTGTGATGGGGCTGATGAGTCGCTTGCCCACCTCGTGCGGTGCAGTGCTCTCCACGCTCGCATCGGCCTGCCGCCTGCCCAGCGAGGCTCAGGGTCCGTCCTTTTACACTCATGCCCTGGCAGATACTGACTTGGCTCACGCTGCCCTACGGGCTGTGCCCTGGCCTCCCACTACTCCACTCCCTTGGTGTGGTGGTGGTGATGTCCACCTTTGGACTGACGGCAGTGTCTTCTTGCCTCACCATCTCCTCTTCGCCGTTGCGGGCTTTGCGGTTGTCAGTGCTTCTGCCGGTGTGTGTGCCTCTGGTCCCGTGCCTGGCCCCCTCGCTGACAATTACCGCGCTGAAGTCTATGCCATCCTGTGCGCCGCTCAGCTTGCTCGTGGGCGGCTTACAATCCATACGGATTCTCAGGCTGCTGTTCGTGCTTGGCACGGCTTTCACCAGCGTGGGTCTGTGCCTCCCAATGCTGCGGCCGCTGACATCTGGCAGCCTCTTTGGGACTTGGTTCATCTGCGTGCCACCTCTCGCTTTGCCTTGACTCTTCACTGGATCAGGGGCCACGTTTCCCTTGATCAATGCCCTGGCTCTGTGGGGTTTCTTCATGCCCGTTGCAACCATGCTGCGGACCTCGTGCGGCACGTGCCTGTCTTGCCCTTCCTGTCTCTCGCATGTCGGCTTTGTTCTTCTCTACTTACCGTGGCTCCAGCAGCTCTTCCTTGCCTTGGCGGCCACACCTGTTCCCCCTCCACCTCCGGAGCCCCCTCCCTGAGGCCCCTGTTGCCCTAGGTTCTGATGTAGATGTTGTAGGACTGAGCCATGGCCCAACTCTGCTGCACTTGGATGAGCTCCTCATCAAGCCGCAGGACTGGCCGCACGGCTCGCTGCAGTGGTGGGCCTGGTGCAAGGCTTTGCGCTCGGCCACATGGGAGTTTCGTGGTGGGGACCTCCAACCTGGGCTTGAGGCTGCCCTGCTCTTCTGGCGGCGCGGTACTCGGGTGGGGCCGCTACAGCCTGCGACCTCTTGGTGCACTTCAAGGCCGTCAGGCGCTGTATCGCTAGGCGCAACCCTGCAGCTTTTCCCCCCTCGTGGAAGCCGCGGCTTGGCCGCTATGCAGGGCTCTCATGGCCACGTGGGGCATGGCGTGGCGTCTATATGCAGCGCAGATGAGGAGCAGAAGTGGCTTGAGCGGGTCTTACTCCGGATGCCCTCTTTTTCACCGGTAGTGGGGCGGCATGCCCTACCACCTACGCGCGCCACAATCGTGCGTCACGTGCCAAAAGGATACCCTTTTTTTCTTCCCTGGCCACTGGGCTCTGAGTATCCAAAAAAAGAAGTAAAGCAGTAGCAATCACCTAACCAAGGCACGAATGGGACGTTGCAGGAACCTTCGAGATGAGCGAGGAGCATATAGAGTGCCGCGCGCCATCAAAAGTTCAGGAGTCCAGATTCTGCCCTTTGCCACTCACGGACGAGGGCAAGTCAATCGTTGCCCAGTTGCAACCAGGCCGCTTCCTTTTTTGTTGTTCCCCTGATTTGCAACGGGTTTTCTCAGTCCAACAGAAAAGAGGTGCGCTTCTTTCCTTCTTTGGATGGATTTCCTTTCGGCTCAACAAAAAAACAACTTTTCGCGCTTTGGCTTAGGTGGTGAGGCTGTGAGGCCTCGCTACATGCGACGCTTCAGGACCTCAAGCCGACATCAGACGTACGTCGAGACTCGAGCTGTTTTTGCCAGACCTCGATGTGGCAGCAAGTGCATTCAAAGGCCCTCAGACAAGAGCAGCGGTCCATATCCAGGGACTTTTGGAGGACATGGACTCCTTGTTGTTTGCTTCCCAAGGAAAGGGAGGCTCACTAAAATCCAATTGGGGCACATAGATATTGACCGCGGCTAGCTGCACTTCGGACAGGCTTCCGACATAGCTTTGTCGAAGTGTATCCCGGATTCGGGTGGTACTAGGGGCCTGATGCATGGCCGAGCCCATCGTTTCGCTCCCCTGGCTTCTCGCACAAAGAGAATGCTTGCTGGCTCTCAGGGAACCACTGGTTTTGGGGAAGTGTTTGGATCCCTCCGCCATTGGCTAAGGGGATTCGCTGGGAGCCCGCAAAATGGGAAGGGTTTCAAGCCGTTGACCGGCAAACTCATTTTTGCCTGGTCAGTTTCCAATGTACAGAGAAACTGTCTGACTATGTTGCCCTTGCGTCTTCTCGGCGCGGAGGCACTTCTTTGGAGGTTGATCTGCTGAGTTTCAGGTCGCGCTTCTGGTTTAACCTGCTATGTGAGCTCCCCCCTCTGGCGTTTTTGAGGGCAGGGCCGCTGAGATGGCAAATCGAAGCAGGGCAGCCGCTATGCGTTTTGCCCCTGACCATCAGCAAATTTAGTTGTGCTAAGTGCCATTGCACGGTCCATTGGAGGAGTCAGGACCAAGATACTTCACGATTGAAAAATATGCGAGGACGGAGATGGCTTGGAGTTTGTGCTTGCAAGGACGCGCAGATGCGTAAACAGCAGGCAGGCAAGCAACCAAGCAAACAGACAAGCAGACAGGCAGACAGACAGTTAGGCACACCGACGCACCGCCACGCTGACCCCCCGACACACTGACACACCGACACACCGACAGACAGACACAGGAACAGAAACAGGGACAGAGACAGCTATAGAGATAGACAGACGCACCCACACGCACACACTTAGACTCAGACTCCTAAAGGAGGAAGACACGTAACCTCGAGTCACCGCATCGAGTAGGTGAGTGAGTGAAATCCATGTGAAGCAAAGTCGAGTCAACGTGGCTTCCCTCCAGGATGGAAAGCCATACAGTCCAACAAGAAGCACACGCACAGCGGGAAAACCAAGGGGCCAAAAAGACCTTGTATCGCAAAGGGGCAGGTACACGGATATGCCCGCATCACGAGCACTGCATGGGTGTGTTCGTTGGCTCTCGTCCCATGCAAGCACCGAGAGCCTGACTCTAGGGTGAATTTGGAGCTCGGCACAGCACAGACGCTCCCGAAGGAGTGGAGCCCCAACAAAAAGAAACAAACCAATTTCAACCCCAAACGAAGCAAAGCGGCCCAAGTTGGGTCTCCGCGCAACCAAGAAGCAAAAACAACCGGGATTCCAGGTTTACGCCGTTCGCGGGCAACAACCCAAAACGAAAACAACCACGTTGGCGAAGAAGACAGCGATTGCAGAAGGCGAAGAAGCCGTCCCGCAAAGGGGCCAAGGTAAAGAACCTGAACGAGTGGAAGAAAAAGCTAAGGAAGAAGCGAAGCAGAGTATGAAGCAGACCGGGAAGAGGAAGTAGCCATCCGGCAAAGAGACCAAAAGAAAGAGCGCCCCAAGCCAACGGAGGAGGAAGAAGACGTCAAGCAAAGCTGCGCGAGGGGAACAGGGAGCGGCAGGAAGACAGACGGGAAGAGAAAGACGAGGACAAAGGCAAGCAACAGAAAGACGAGGAGGCCATCCCGGAATGGGGGCCAGCAGGAAGAACACCGACAAGCGGCCAACCAAAGGCACGAACACGAGACCGGGAGGAAGGAGGAGTAGCCATCCTGCGGGGCCAAGAGCAGGAAGACGGACAGGGCAACGAAGAAGACGAACAACACAACCAACCAAAGCCAAGGGCCTTCCACGCCGAGTGTTGTGTCCCGGCAACGTCCGGGAAACAACGCTGCTCTATGTTTACGAGGCAAGGGGCTTGGCAACAGGGCGGCGTTTGTCGTTTAAGTTTTGTACTCCTCTCGGCTGCACAGGGGTTGGCGGTTTGGACGCACTTAATTGCAACCATTTAAATGCAACTTCTTTGCTTTGGGACGCTTTTCCAGATGTGTTTGCACTTTTTGGCTGACGGCTGCGGACAGTCCAAGCCAAGGTATCAATCCGAGTTGTCCTTTCGCAAGCTGAGGCAAGTAAGAATGGTCACAGACGCTGTAACTTGCAACTGGCTGTCTTGCATACAATGCATGCACGAGTTTAGCGCCCATGGAGGCCCTGGCTTTCCCAGGGATCGGACCATGTCTGTGACCCAAAGGACACAAACCGGCGAGTGCTCTTCTTGAGGGCCCTTTATAGGATTCTGGGGGCGCAAATCCCACGCGATTTTAATGGAACTTATTCACCAGGAAGTGGGCTGGTTTCGGGTTTGTGAACAAGAGTAAGTTGCCTAGAAGGACACTGACGCGCACCTGAAGGTCCTCTGCCCCTTCCATGTGGAGAGTATAGGACTAGTCGTTCCACTTGGGGTGTAGGATTCGGGAAAAGTGCCAACGGTTCATTCCCCATTTTCTTTACTTCTCTTCGGACTCCTTTGACCCATTTTTGTCTGAAGTGAAGGACACCTAAAGAAACAATGGGGTTCTCTTCTGTTTCCCTTTGGGCGGTTTTGAAAATCAGCTTTTAGGGCCGTCTAGAGGGAGTTCGCTTTGTACTGAGCCCCCGGAGAATGGGGTAGACACAAGCTGTCATTCAGTGCCCGTCGCCGAGGCAGCGGGGCGCTTTGCCCTGCCTGCAGCGGGAGGCGGAGACGCGGCCGCGGGCCTACCACGAGGGCGGCAAGGCAGGATGCCAATGGTTGGATGTTCATCCAACTTCGTAAGTAGGTTACAACAAGTTGGTTTTAGTAGGTTGCAACAAGTCTTTTTTGTGCCAACTCTCTCGAAGTTATCCCTGTATCCCTGGTTTGTAAGCTACTCGCTGGGGTTGGCCATCCCAGTATGTGCTCTTGCTAAATCTGGATGCTCCGACAAAATGATTTGACGTAAAGTGAACACCTAGAGGCAAAATCATAGAATTATAGTCTTCAAATTGCAAGCACTCGCCATGAGCTTTGGGTTCCATTTGGCTTCCCATTCAATCACCCCCAAAGTGGGAACCGAGCCTCAAGAAAAGACAGGGCCATGTGGGCAAAGTGCTGAGCCTCAGGCGCTGATATCTGACTGGCGGGGGGCGAAAATTGCAGCTCACTTTGCCGCACTGCCCCAAGTTTCGGCCCCTGCATGAATTGTAGCTCTGGAGAAACACACCCTCTCACGACACAGGCTGCTGTATAATTTTGCTTGCTGCACAATGGGCTGGTAAAATCCACATAAACGGGTAGGCTCGGGACAGCTGGTTGCCTGAATAGCCTTTGATCCATGTTTCATCTCCTCCAATTCAAAGGGTTAACTTACAGGAAGATCTACCGGAAACGGCCCCAAGACACCCTTTTCCGGCTGTTTTCCTGTAGAAATTCCTGTAACCCAGCCCTTTGACCAACCCTATCCTCCAAACGCAGACCTTCAACGTGTGGATGGACGAGTACCTCGGAACCTGGCGGCGGAAAACCAGTCAGGAGCTGGACGAGCTCAGCCTTCGCCGCCCGGATGATCCGAGTCGATCCCACCCCTGAATGGCTGGCCCGTGTTGGCAAGTGGGTCATCACCTCAAAAGCGGTTGCAGCACAACCGAAAAACCTCGGCCAAAATCATCCGCCAAAGATTGGCCAAGTAAAACACATATCCCCAACTGAGGATGGACAAAACCCTGCACCATTTTGAAACCATGCTTCACAGCGTGCTTTCTTGGTATTTACGGGGAAATCATCATTCCAGGGAATCTTAGGTGCAGGATTCGTCCATCCACAGAATGTTTCCATGGTTTCCAACGTTTTCCCAGCCTCATCCGCCTCCATGTGACATCGGACTCTCACGTGGCTAGAAACAAATCCAAGGCTAACTTTTTGTCTGAGCCAAATGGCGGCGCATTCCACGTTCAGTTCGTTTCCTTGAATGACCGTGCTTCGTTTTGTGGTACCTGGCGCGTCTGTTGCTTTATTGCACCTTAGTTGGCCTCTAAGGTTTGGGGGGGAGTGGGAAGGCTGGGCAGTCTTTGGGGGGTCCCGACCAAAAGGTCAAAGGGCCAGAAAATGGGTTCTCCTTGTTCGTTCCTTCTCCATCGACATGCTGTACCGATGGTCTTTGAAGCACAGCTCGTGCTGACTTGGGGGCATGTGGTTTACACAACTGGATCCAGGCCCCCCTAAACCGGGGGAAAAAGGAGGATGTTTAAACAACGGGTGTTTTAAGCAGTGCCCAATTTTCTCTGTTTTGTTGGAGGGTTCCTTGAACGTCAAAGAGCAAAAGGAATCGGCGCCCTCGGCACTAAGGAGACTTTGCCATCTTCATGACGGAGGAGTGGGGCTTGGGTGATTCACCTGCCACCCAAAGACTGCGACTGGGGAAAAAGCACGGTTGGCCCGACTTGGCGCCAGTGTGGCCTTCCTTTCAACCGGAGCTTTTGGTGGCAGCCTGCTTTGTCTTCCCAGATAGGTCCCTTTCGTTTTGCAGCATACTGCACCCCGAATCCTGACGGGGTATGCTCAAAAGGCACGGAGAGCTTTGGGAGCTTGGAGCCCTGGCCAGGAACCCAACCCCATGTTTTGAGGAATCGCCTTAAGGACGCTTTGTTTTGGGCCCAAGGTGAGTCTGACCCACATGCCGAACGAAGCTGTTTTGAAACCGCACCGGGCTTGAACAACCCAGATCTAGTGGTACTTTTCCTTCTGCTTCTTCTTCTTCTTCTTGGACAGGGTCGTCCCCATGGCCACTGGATGTTTAGGATAATGACCCATGAATTTCACATCGTTAATCCCCTTTCTACTCTAGACACAGAATACACGAACTTCGCTGAGTTTTTAGCTCTAATTAGGCCCTGAAACAGCAAGGCACATGCAACCAAAAGAGTGTGTTTGTTTTTAGTCGGCCCTTTGCAATGAAACCTATGAGGTCGGAAACAGAGAGTCATATTTGGACCGTACAGCTGGGGGGGAGGAGGCTCCAAGGGTCGACCGGGGGTGTCGAAAAACCGATCAGGATCCCTTTGAAGGACGCCAGGGATTTTCTTGGCTCTATCTGCACCCATCCAAGCAAGTCTCAAAGTGGGAGCATGTTCGGACAGAGAGCATGGGTATTTGTGGCTTTCGCTGGGCTTCCCCGGAACACCAGCCAAAGGGTGGTTTTGTTTTTGTTTGTTTTTTTTTTTTTTCTCAAAAAGGCCCAGACCTCCAGTCAGCGGTGCCCGTGCCCTTTTTCTTTCTTTGACTGTACCATCTGTAGCAAAAAGGTCGAGACATTTCCAGGAGCTGGGCTGGGGCCACCACGTGGTCTCGGTGCGCCTGGGCCAAAGCCTGCCGCTGGACAAGTTCCCGCGACTCGGCTGAAGTTTTGGGGAGGCGGAACGATGGATGCCCCTGCCATGCTGCAAGCAAACCACGGCAAAGAAATGGGTATGGGTCAAAACTAAACCGCAAAACTTGGACCGCAGGTTTTAGTCCTTTCCATTTACCAGCGCGTGCCTATTTTTGACCCACACCCAAAATGCAGCAAACCAGGCTTCCTTGTTCCCTCATGTCTCCGCCAGACGCTCATGGGCCATTCTGACTTAGGGAAGTGAACCAGGGATATGAACCGCTCCTTGTCCCTTGCAAATCGAACAGTGGGTTCCTTTGGGACCCCTGCACCTAGGAGGTCGCTTTAAGCAGAAACGCATCTTCCACCCCACAGGTGCCATGCTTGTGGGAGGAAACCAGGGGTGTATCAATCCTACCGGAGGTCTGGTACCGCTCGATGCCAGGCACTTGTCGGTGAAGTACATCGACGACGAATGTTTGCACATCGAGGCTCCGGCGATTCCCAGTCATGCAGATAGACCTTTTGTGACTTTGAAGCTTCTTTAGAGGGTTTTATGACATGGGCGTGTCGTTCCTTTTTGAGGTCACCCCTAATTGTGGTTTGAAAACCGCTATATTAAGAGAGGGTCCCCGAAAAGAAAGAGATATAGCTTTGAGCAAGAGATCACCCAACCAAGCTACAAAATGGGGGCATGTTTTCAACCATGAATCCCCATATCGGCTGGTTAGAGTGCCAACTAGGCCAAGGAGTGCTTTGCCACTGGCTAGATCATGACGGGGCAAGCGTGGAGCAAAGGGGACAGCGCAAGTAAACCAACAGAGGTTATTCTTGAGAAGCTTGCCGACCTTGACGGCCGGGCGGGAGGAGGGGCGCATTTCCTTTTAAACTGGATAATCTATATATATATATACACATATATATTTACATATTTACTTACCTAACAGTCCCGGCCAGAAATAGAAGTGGCCGCTCAAACAGTTGTTCAGTGAGAGGCCACTTTTTGCCTTTTTGCTTTGGCTTGGTGGGTCTTCTCCGAAACTTGATCCCGAAAAAGGCTCCCTGTGTTTACAAGGTTAAAGGATTTTGAGCTGGGGTTCACAATGTTGACGGATGTAAATAAACCCCGGACTCATCCGAGGTCGACATTTCCAGAATCGCCCGCAGGATCCCTTCGACGTCCAGCGGAACCTCGCCTGTGTCTTCCGTGGTTATAACCGTGGGAATTCCAACAGGAGGGGGCCACATTCGGCGTTTTGCACAGGCCTATGGGGTCCCGACATATCCCGGCTGCCAGAACCCCGTTGTTCAGTGGATCCCGCCCTCCCTTTTGGTTTGATGGGTTTCCCACTCAAACTTCCGAAAGGACGGCATCCTTTTTCCCCAGCCGAAAGTCTTGGGGTCGCGAGGCCCAAAGCTCCGCAGTCCGGAGCTTGCGGGAGCCCCGCGAAACCTGGCTGGGGAATACCTGTTGGGGATTATTGCGCAAGTCTAAGGCTTCATATTTACCAGGAAGTTGCCAGAAAAGCTGTTGCATATGTTTAACCTGTGCCATAGTAATTAGGCCATATCCATTGGGCCAGTTAGATGCTTACTTTTCAATTCCCAGCAGTTTATTTTCTTGGCAACTCTTTCTTGGCTGGTATTTCATGAACATGTGCATTCTCCCACTCAACAAGTTGTGTGATGCTTTTGAGGCAAAGACATATGGACCCCAGGTTTTTGGGGGTATATAGGGGGTCCAGTGCTTCCATTTACCAGTAGACTAGGGAGGGAAAATGGCTGGCGGCCTACTATGGCTTGCCTAGGATGCACGGTCGACATGGGCCAGAATCTGAAAAGCAATGTTTTGCGTACCTCAGATTTGAGCCAAAGATATTTAAGGGAATTGATAGCTGAAAGCTACAGGGTGTCTGCCCAGATCAGTCGCATGAAGAGGATAGTGCCGTCGTACTTTCCTTCACAGTTGTTGGCAGACTTGGTTGGTTCTCTTCGTTTTTATTAGAAGGCTTAGTGCCATCGTTTTCTTGGCCGGCTCCTTCCATTTTTTTCCGTGTGGGGGCGGGCCTTTCCTTCACTGTCGGCAGTTTCTCTGGTTCTTGCTATTGCGTGTTTGTGGGTTCTTGTCGTTTAGTTGGGGCAAACAGAAGTCAGTTTTGTTGCCAGCTGGGTTGGGCGTCAGGAGGCTGTGGTGGGGCCTGAAGAAGCTCAGCGACAAGGCGAAGCCGCAGCTTCCGCTTCCGGAGCCCGAGGAGCAGGTACAGAGTCAGGAAATATGATTTTCCGGGTACCCTGGATGTGGGGGCCAATCATATAAGCCAGCAACAGGCAGCTTCTACAGGACATCAGCACTTACCCACCGAAAACAAGGATGTCCTGTAGAACAAATCCAATCGGGTTGCCTTACCATGCCTTCAAAACCAAAAAGCCACGGGCCCCAGATGTCGTTGGCCTGCCTTGGCGACCGGAGGAGCGCCCCAAGCCGCCGGAGCGCCCGCCGCCGGTGCCGAAGTCAGAGAAGCTGAACCTTGAGCCGTTCGGGGGGGGGGGGGTGGTGGGGGGGGGTGCCCATTTTTGTTGGACCGGTTTAAAGCATATGTTGTGTTTGTTTTGGCTTGGCGGGCTTCTTATTGAGAAGCATGTGGTTTACAGTATCTTTGTGGCGGTTTAGAAACTCATCTTTTGTCCATGTTGGGTGGTTGCCAGGTTGGACATATGCGGCTGGGGAAAGGGCGTTTTGCGTCTCAGGCTGTTGGTTTTCTTGGGGTCTGCGTGTCAACCCCACCCGAAGGGTTTCCAATGCAGAGACAGACCCAGGTACAGTAAGCACGAGGAAGCCCGAGAATCGACCAGGAAACTATCATGTAAAACCTGACTGCTCACAGCTCGGTAAAGGATGAAACCGAATGAATCCAGCCCATTGTGAATCAGAATCCTTCCCGAAAGGTGGCCTGTGGTTGCCAATTTTATGGGAAGCGAACATGAAGGTGCTTTGCTCGGGAATACACTGTTTCAGGTGCTGGACGTATCGGAAAACTCAGGCATGTAGCGCCCTGAATCAATCTTTTAGCGGGTTTTCCCTGGGCTTTGGTCTTTACAGGGCGTTGAGTGTCTCAAACGCACCTTAGGGCTTTACTTTCCATGTTTCATGCCGTCTAGGGCTCGAAAGTCGAAGGGTTTCCAGCCAGTCAACTCCGAAGATCAGCTGAAGATGGTGAGTCGGCGCTTCTTCAAAGGTTCCATTGCAAGACACTGGGGCTGGCTCAAGGTGTAGAACCCTCTGGCAGAGGCAACACTTCGGGGCACGACAGACGCGGTCTGCCGTAAATGCTAAATGGTGTCAATCAAGCTACAATCAAAGGCTAAAATGGAAAGCCGGAATCCGGCTGTCAAAGGGACGTTTGAGCTGCTGCCTATTGTCACAGTTGGTCATGCCCTCCCAAACATGGAAGGTTCCAATTTTGACCCTTGCATGTTCTTTTGGTTGAGGCTGAAGGGAGCGTAAAGGCCCCACTCCCCACTCCCCGCACCCCCCGATCCTTCTTTGCCTTAGCTCATAACTCCTTATCCGTTGGGGGGATCTGGGGTCCTGACCAAGGGTGGGCTCGCGACCAGTGGAGGACAAGCAAAAGGCGGGGCTTTGCAGTCTCAGTGCTCGGCGCCACTCTACATACTCCAGACCAAAGGATTTTTGAAGGGGATGGCTAAATCAACATGAGGGAGTGCCATCTACTTTTTCCCAACTGAAACTCAGTGCTTCCCTGTGGGCCTTTGGGTTTTGCATGGTCACCCAATGTCGACCCCGCATGCAAGTAGCACCTTGTTTGAATAAATAGGTGGTATGGTTTAGCTCTTCCAGTTGAGGTTTGGTCAAAAGTGTGATTTGACGGACGAGAGCGGGGGCGTCACGAAGTGTCAGCCAAAAAGTCCGTGGACGAACCCTAATGTCCCATTTTCTTTTTGGGGAACAAGCAACTTTGACACCACTATAGCAGGTAGCCGGAGAAAGCTATCAGTGGAAGCGCTTGGAATAGAACACCACGCTTCATTCCCGGACTAGATCCTCCATTCTGCCTCTTCGCTTTCTCCGGCGAAAACGTGAACTTGTTGCAGGGGGTTGAGCAAGTGTTCGGCGAGCACGAATCAGAAGCGGCGAAGTTGCAACAGGAAGCAGCTGCGGCATGAGCAATGTACTGAGTCTCAACATAATGTAATTAGCTGAAGCAGCGAAGACTTTCAAGTGGGTATTAACTTCTATTGGGGACCTTTTGGTGGACATCATTTTGGTGGAGTGTATGTCTATGAGCCACTTGGCAGAGGGGTTCCCTATTGAAATGCTGCAGGCTGCGGACTTAAAGCTTCTGGAGGGACAAACTGCGTAAGTCTCCCGCCATGAGGGGGGGAAGTCTCTTGGCTTGTCCAAGGAGTTGATTTTGGAGGAATGTGGCTGTGGTTGTCAAAACCAATGGTACCATTTTGGGGTAGGTGCCTCACCCAGTTTATTTTATTTTAGTGGGGGTTGGGATGTTCACTGGCTTTGCTATCAGAGTTGGTTCTTTGGTCTTGCCCAAGCATTCCATGCTCTTTGAACAGGCGTTTTTGGCCTGAGCACCCCGCCACCCCAGGATGATGTCCACCATTTTTTGGGGGTCCCTAAAAAGACACACACACACACTCTTCCATGATTGGACAAAGGGTAGCCCACTGTTTAACATCAGACATCTTCGACCTTCCCCCACATGGTCGGAAGCCAACTTCATACCCTTTCCTGGCATCTCTGCTCCTCCCCCCAAGCGTAGTTTTTAGGTTGCCATGTCTTTTGAATGCCAAGGGAAACACCCTTTCGAAGTGGTATCCTGCTCTTCTTTGGAATCACAGAAAACGCGTTGATCGACCCTAGTGGGTTGCAGGATTACTGACTAGTGGGACCAGATTTTCAAGGGAATGCGCCTGTTTGCCCTTGGCGACGTGAGTTCGCGTCAGTTCGAGTCAGAGGATCGTCCGCTCTTCTAGGCACAGCTTTACCTCGGACACCAAGGTCTGACCTTCAAGGTCTTGACTGTGTTGGCAGATATGGTTGTGGGTACCTGGCTGCTTCCAACGAAGCCAAAAGGTAACCACCCTGTCGTGGGGTCCACATCCCATACGCACGTTTTTTGTTTGTTTTGTTTTTGTGCGTACTCCTGTGGGTCGTCGCTTTCGTACTCCCGGGGGCCTCGAGACATCCCAATTATCTGCATGAAATGGTAAGTATTGACGATTGCTTTTCCTTTTGTGGCCCGACTCTGGACCCCCCGCTACCGATACCCATGTTTGCTTGGGTATGCAATCAAGCCTTTATCACTGTCAACAACTGACATACTCCAAACACTACCCATGTTAGAACCCAATACTAAGGGCATCCACCGTAGTAACCAGAAGCCTTATTGGGGTGCCCAGGAAGTCGGGAGACCTACAGAAGAGGCTCCTAAGTAGCTTGTACCTACCTTACCTGCGAATTCCGCTGACAGAGATGTACCTGTTCAGTTTCAGCTTTGGTTGCCAGGTGTCTTCATTATCCGGCCAAAGAAGCTTGGGACTGTATCTGGCCAGTCAACCCAGCTTGGGACTCAGCGGGGAGCATTTTTTGGCTTTGGTCGCAGGCGGAGACGGGTGCCAACTCGAAGCCACGGCCACCACTTGCATTTTCTTACCCCCAGCCGCGGGATTTCTTCAACGCGCGGCGGCCGAGCTGGGCAGGGGCTTCAGCTCAAGAATGGATTTTGTTGTAACTGGGAACCCTGAATTCAAAAACATCTACTTGATTGGTACGGGGTAGTACAACAATTAATCACTTGCATTGGACAGGTGTGCTCATCCAGGGTCCACATTGGTAAGCAAGGTGCCCTTTGCCGCATGGGCTTTGCCATTCCGGGCCAGGTTAGGGGAAAACGCCCGTGGCGCAGAGCGCTCTTGTGCACCGGAAAATGGGCTTTGGTCCAAGAAAGCATGTACAAGATCCGTAATATGAAAAGCCGGCAGGTTAAGCATATTTCTAAGTTAACCCCTTTCATACTTCTATGAAACACCTTTACAACCCCTTTCCCTAATAAGAAAACCGCTCCTATGATCATGAGTTAATTTGGCACCCCCCTCGGGGTTTGGCCGGAGCCCGGAGGCGCCCAGACAGTTGGGGATCTCGCCTCTGAGCCTATGGACTTCTCTGGGGTTTCATTTGAACGCTTGTGAATTTTGCCCGGCGGGTGGAGTGCGCCTCCGGATGGTCTGGCATGTCAACTTCGGAGTTGTTTTTCTCATTTCATGGCAGTACGCTGCCCATGCCCCGTTTCTGGAGGGCTGAGAATAATAGCCAGCCTTTCCAGGTCATTGCCGGAGTGTAAGGCGGTGTGTACAACGGTCCCTGAAACCAAGGTGGGTTTATCAGGCATTTTACTTTGGGCTCCCTTCCAAAGGCTTGCACACGACTTGATCCATTGGGGTTTCACCAGTTTTCAGGCCACTTGTCGGTTTCCGCGTCATTTCGAGCACCCCTGGAACCGTCCCCCGCTGAAAGACCCCCCACAACCCCCCAGGGTCAGGATCCGAACCCAGGAGGATCCGACGCGCGACGAGCGGGAGGACGGAGTTCAGTTTCTGGCAGGGCTGAAAGGATGCATCCAAACGCCGCTGATTTGCAGGGGGAGCCTCTTCAGCTGAGATGCCACTTGAAAGGTTGCCCCTCCCACAGATGCTTTGTTCGTGGAAAGAAAGTACTGAACATCCTTTATCGATTTGTGGTTTGTAGAGTTTCATTCCAACTGGTGCGAAGTCGATTTCAGCCGTCCACAGCATCTTTCTTCGTCGGAAAGTCTCCGGCTGCCCTGCAAGGAGCAACGCGCAGAAGAGCCCAGGCGGGTCGGTGTCCAAGGTGATAGCCATGGGCAAATCACCCGTTTGCCGGGAAAATCGGAGAGGCTTAAACCAGGGACCCAAACACTCCGGGCCAGGATTGAACGAGTTCCCATAGATGTAAACAACTTTAGGAACTGGAAATGAAGCCAACGCTGCAGATCTCATGCAGTGGTGCCCGTTGTATTTTAGTTTGTTGCAGGGGGGGGGTTCTCCCTCAGAATCCGCCGACCAGGGAAAAGGCGCCTTGGTTGCCCATGGAAATCCGCCGGCTTTTTGAGACACGGGGTGGAACACATGAAGCGAGCCGGAGTTTGGGCTCCGGGGGACTGACTTCTTGTCAGCTGAGCCCAATTCAACCCCGAGATACCCGTGCAGGTTCGTTAGGGACAGTTCCAACCCAGAAATAGG